TGTATTCTGTATTCTGTAATGGAATACATTTTAAAAGTAACCTTCCCAACACTGGTTACACACCTGCATCACGATAAAATCAATATGTGGCCATCTTTTAAAATTTAAACTACATCGTCCTGTTTGAAAAAAGGATTTCATAAGAAAACTTTAACCTGTTTTGATCAAAGTACAGACAATCATAGGTAAAAATCCTTTCATCTTTGAAATGTCCACAATGCACCAGTGAGGTCTGATACATACATACCTTGTTCTGCAATTTCAATTTCTCGGCGCCCAAATTCAGCTTGTTTGATGTTCTTCACGCAGAAGTCGCTGCTGCCGTGGGTGTTGACCTGGGCTTTGTCCCGGGGAGAAGTTTCATCATCGGAGCTGTCAGTGTAGGATGCAGCTTACAAATAGAGAGCACAAAAGGTCACTTTTGTGGTAAAGCACACAAAAGAGCCAGTTGTGAAATGTATGCTTTCAATGCATTGTGTAAAAGCTGGAGCTACAGTGAGTATTTTTGTGATGTATATGAATAGCTTTTCCAGGTGGACATGCAAACATAACTCAATCAAAGAACTGTTAAGTGAACTTACAAAAAATGTTTTGTTTTGTTTTGTTTTATTGTATGACTGAAGTAATTGCTCAGTTTTCAGCAGTGAAAGTGAAAGTACCTGAGCTGTAGCTGTCTGTGGAGGACTGCGAGATGGACCGTGACAGCGAGCGGCGCCCTGCCTTGGTCGGATACTTGCTGAATTCCTGTTTGTCCTCTGCATTCGCAAACTGGATCTGCAGAGAGCCAAGGAAAATGCCACACAGTGTAAACGTCAAAAAACAAAACAATCCAGATATTTAGCAATTTGACGTCAATGGGACAAGTGGAGGTCAATAGGACAAGGTATCATCATCATCACATGTTAAAAGTGATGACACTATACCATACACCGTACCTTCACACTTCATTAGTTTATGTTTGCATTCATTGTCCTGTTTCTGCTATTATCCTTTCTAAAGATAAATCAGCTTGTTACAGGAAATCACAGGTGGATCGAGAACAAGGGTGCTGATGCTTATTTTTAGATGGTCCCTTGTGATTTATGTTTTGTTCAAATGCATGCGCTTCAGTTATTGTTGGTTGTGATTCATCGTGTCAATCCAAGCCTTCAAAGGGCCCAAGATGAAAGATCTGGAAAAAGATAAATTGGATCACCAAACAGCTAGTGTGGCTATTTTCTAGCCAGGCCTTTGATTAAAGTCTAAACTGTTGAATCTCTAAACCAAAGCACTGGAGAACTGATTTTAACTGGTCACAGAACGGTAAATAGACTGTATGAAAGACGCAGTTTAGGTCAACATCACAGGCAGCTCAGTTACTCAGTGCTTTATGGAAACAGAAAATTTGGAAATATTTCTGGTACCTTTTTGTTTTGTTTAATTTTGGAACCTAATGATGACAGAAAAACAACTACTGCAAGTTTAGCAAGCTCGGTAAGTATGACCATTATCTTCCATGGAAGGACCAACAAAAGCAATGTTACCTAAACATTACTATGTACTATCACTGTCTGCCTTTCCAATAATTTCGACCCGTGTCTTTGTGTAAAGTCTGCGACCTCATCCGTGATATTGTGCCACGTGTCTTTCTCACAACACTGTTTAATATCACAACATTGTATAATGTCATAAAAGCATGCCTTGAAGGCTTGAAGCGTTTTCCAAAATACTTTTTTCCATGAAAAATGTTACAAAAAAATGGTTCACTTGACCAAAGTTCATGACACCTATTCAAAGGTCTTATTTCTTGAGCTTTTTAATTCTTCATGGTCTTCACGGTCATGCAGTCGAGGAGTGAGGATTTCAGAAGGATAGATCTTTACACAACTCTACCATAAACATTTACTATGAGTCCGTGATAGATTGTGGCAATGCACAGAATTCCCTCTGTCTCCTATTTAAATCTTCATATCATGTGTTTGGACTGCAAACTCAAGTGCAGACTGACAGAGTTGACACAACACACAGATGAAGAATCCGGGAAGCCATGTATCCCAGATTAACAAGAGTGAGTCGGATCACACTCGAGGATGTGTGTGTACACTGCACATACATGAACCTGTAGCTATGTCCTTCAGGTAGAGCGTACTGTTAACAATTATGAAGAGTAATAACGCAACACTGAAACAAAATCAAATTAACGGATTTTCTTTATACATACAAATTTAGTTCTGATAGAACGTTTTACGGGTGGATGCAACAGCTACACATGACTTCACATCAACAAAATCCCCCAAAAAGCTGAGGCTGATTGAATGGGCTAACATCAGCATAATGCACAATCACTAGGGAAAACACCCCAACATAACCATAACTTTAATTCTCTGCTTTTATCCTAATTACAATGATCTTCATTAACTTAAAATGTGTGGTCAAAATGCCTAAAACATCACTAACCTTATTTACTCAGCATTTTAACCCACGACGCCTCTTTCCATGAGCAGTGACACCTGGGCTTCAGAAACCTACCGTGTCGGTATAAAGAAACTCAAGAAGCCTGTGAGACAGGCTAAGCTCAGGAGAGCTCTGCATGTCTCTGTTTTCACAACTGTGAGTGTGCTCCATCTCATATGTTCACAAAATATGTCAACATGAGTACTTTTATGTTTTCTTTGCATCACTTTGCAGCCTTGAGGATTCAACAGACATTTCACACAGTCTCTTGAGCTTTACTACATTGTTCTTTCTCAATATTCAGACCAAAATCAAGAGGCTAATCTAATTAATGATGAATTACTCAGCGTTGGTGAAGACAGCATTATGTTTCAACTACGCCTACACAGGGGACCTGTGTGAATAACCTTGGTGTTTACTAGGAAAAATTGCGCTACTCCCTGCAGGTAAACTGAAATTTATGTTTCAAGGGAAAAAAAAGTTTCTGTTAACTGCAGGAAGAAGACAAAAACCTGTGACTGCCAAAAAATACCAAGGCTCCTAAGGTGTGTTTGAGCTATCTAGTATCTAGAATTTCTCAGTGATACATTAGCAGCAACTCACCCTTTCTCTCCCATGCCCATGCCCATGCTTGTGTGCCATTGTTTCTTCCGTTTTCCAGCCTATCTGCCTGTTGCTGTGTGTCCTCTGTGCAGTAGTACTAGGTGTCCCTGATGCTATTATCCCAGAACACTCCCAGGCAGAGCCAGGGGGAGGTTCCCACCTATTATCATGATTTCTAATGGCCAACCTGGAGAGAGAATGAGAGAGAGAGAAAGACCTAAAGAGAAAGGGAGGGTTTATTCCAACCAAGCTTCTCTTTCTCTTTAGTCTCTCCAGTTATGCCCTTGGCAACTTGACGCTAAAATCTGCAGGTTGTATGTTATGGTGAATTTTTAATTGCTGAGGCGGCACATGCAAAAAGATTCAGGTATATATGTAGGTTGCGCACGAACGAGAACTGTTTCAAAATCACATGCACACAAAGTAATAAACAAATTTGCCTCAGCTATTATTCTACACCTATGCTCCTGATTTGCACAACTAAAGTAAACAGAGATTGACAGAAGGAATTAAACTCTGTTTCCATTAGCCTTCTGCTGCATCAATACGTGTCCCATGCAGTTCCTACAGCTAAAAATACCCTTTCTCTTCTAGATAGCGGGCCAGGTCAAAGACTTAAGCTGTGGAGTGTGGCTTTCAGTCAGTGTTGTAAGGGCTCAATCTAGGCCTGACATAAGGCGACGCTAGCTACTTAGTCAGACACAGCGAGTGCTCTAAATCACTGCCCTGCGGAAAAGGCATACAGCCTTATCCGCATCACATGATCTTTGTATACAGACTACTCACAGTGATTAAAACAGGTTCAAAGACATGTGGCCTGCAATATTTATATAAGTAAAAATGGTGCAGAGACACACTCAAAGGAGTGAAGTCCAGTTGCAGTTTTCAAATCAGGGTACTTCCTTTGGTGTGCAAAGGCAGCTGTTTAGATCAACACATGCATGACCGATTACAGTGTTGTGAAAAAAATACAACTCTACTAATCCTTTCTCCATGACTATCCGACCTTTACATAAGTAAAGAGCATAAATCCTAAAGCAGTTCACAATCCTAATCTTACTGTCAAGTTGTTTTTCCCCTGGATTATCTTACTGCACTGTTTATTAAGAAATCTAAACTCCTGATAACAAATACTGTAATTAAACTGTACCTGTACTGTACTTAGTGAATGCCAAGGGCAAAACCTAGAACATAGAAAATAGTAAAACTACTGAATGTGCTTTATTTTTAACCTTATGATGACTTTTCCTTCACTGGAAATGACTGTAAATGTGCCAGGTACATTTTATCTTTACATTTTTTCAAAGCACACTCATGTCTGTGTCTTTAGAGATGAATGTGAATGTCTCTGTATCCGATTCTGGCAGCAAGGCAACCCAAATCATCCCTGCTTGAGCCCCTGCTTCACCTTTAACTTTACCCATTTTCTTTGCTGTGCTGTTTTACCACACTACATTTTCCAGTCTTCGTTACCACTTACCAGGAGGGCAAAAGTTATGTTTGACCTTCATGAATCTCTTCCATAATGTTGGCAGACACGCAGGATGAGAGAGTGAAGCTAAGGTATCATCACATTTCAGATCCTACAAAGCAGCCCACAGGAATCAGATAAATATGATGATGCATGAACAGATTCACGGTGAGCAAGTCCCATTCCCAGGGGGCGTATTACATAACCATTAGATGGATTCGGAGAGAGAGGAGGCAGAGGATTGGTGTTCTCTGACTCATCTGCCCTCACGCTAACTCACTCGTTTTTAATTTGTAGCATTGACTTTGTTTACTCACGTCACCTTTCAATGTAGTAGTTCTGCTGAGTTCTTTTCAATATGTCATTTATTGTGATTTCAATCAGTTTGACACTTTTTCCAGTCATTTACAGTAGTTTCTTTAATCATTCTTCTTTTTTTTTAAGCAAACAGACTGCTCAGTTTGACACCGGGCTCTCACATTTATTCATAACACAGTGCTTTGTTTTCATAAGTGCAGTTCACATTCCTACAATCCAATATGTTCTCATCAGGCACCCTGAGGCGGCTCACAGTCCACACATTATTGCATTCTGTGAGCTAGCAGCTTGAAGTCTACGATGCTGAGAAAACAGGCGTTTTATTATTCAGTTATTTATCAATTATTATAAACACACTTTGGTTAAACTTACTCAATTCACAAATCCAGCCACAAAGACAAGATGACAGGAATAACAAACATACCTAGTGCACTTTTTCCACACTGCGTAATGATACATTGCTTGTAGCTTACTTATGAGTGAGTTTAAGGGCGAGAAAAACCTACTGTCTCTTTAACAAGGTAAGTCCGATGTTTCAGTCTGAACTCTGTTTTATGATGAGCCTTACAGAATTCTAATAAGTGGATCTTTAAGGAATCATACAAAAAAAGTAAGCTCAACCCTGATTACATAATAAGACAGAACTCGAGACCACTTGTGCATTTGTGTTTTTGAGTTGGCATGAAGTAAGTTTACTCCTGAGTGCTGAAATACTCTTTGTTAAAACACGATATTTTCATTTCCTGCACCTGTTATGCACAAATATCTAATCAGCCAATCACATGGCAGCAAGTTAGTGAATTTAGGCAAATACATGTGGCTAATAATAGATGCTAAAGTTCAAAACAATTCACATCGGTGATGTGGGGAGATTTCTTA